TATGAGTATACGTTGTCCAGGGTGCACCACGTGGATTTAAGTCTATCGTACACCCCCTGATCGGTGTAGATTGAGTTTCTCTCCAGTGTGAGGTGATTCTTCATTTCCCTGTCTGCAAGCTAATGTGTCCCTGTTTGGATGAAGGAATGCACCTATTCTCGACATAGCAATCTTTTTTTTTTCATGTCAAGTCGGAGTAGTTTTTTGCTGAAATGCAGCATGCATGCAGTTCGAGTGAATCGCAGTCCGACTAGGCAAAACTCATATCTGCTGTATCTGTTTTGCCTCGGGATAAAAGCAATGTACGCAAGTTGTCCTCATCAAGGTGGTGAGAGTAAGCATCTCTCCCGATAATTTAACGCTTACACATATGTCTAGAACCGTGTTGCCACTCCATCGGTGTTTTGATCTCGCAACATTCAATGCCTTTGTCTAATTGACGAATGTCTTGAATTAGCTCTGATTCCCAGCTATATCTGGGTGTGGGATACATTCCAACAGGGGAACTTGACCTTCCAGCGATGCTGCATCATGAGTAGTTTCATTTTGAAGGTATTTCCAAAGTTTTTTTCCCAATGAAGTATTCAACATAATTCCAAAGCTCTAAGATCCGATTTAAGTCTAATTCCATTTTCCCTCTTTTTCGTTTTGTTCACCATCTGTTAAGTCAGAGGTCAGATTCGTCAGTGATATGGTTGGCCAATCATTCTAGTTTATCCTGATTAATTGGTGGGGTGGTGGAAATTTGTATGACATGAATTTTAACTGATTTTCCTCCATGAGTTTGGGAGGTGTTTGAGATTCTGCTGTTTTTTTTGTTGCCGCATTTGTGTCACCTATTTGCATCTTGAAGCACTTGAATAGCTCATGATTAGTTCATTTTGAAATTGGAATTTTTCGTCCTCCTTTTCAGACGTGGTCAAAAGGTCCTCGACATCGGTTCGGGTTTAGGCTATGGACTACTCTACGCCCTGAATCGCGTTGCCCCGCACACAGTTCAGCGTCTTCGCTTCGACTTACCAACGCGGGTCTTTGGTCCCCAGTGGTTCCGTCGATTCGGTTTCCTTCCTATCAAAGTTTCCACGCAGATGGACAAAGATGGTGTTGTACATGGCATTGATACCTCCACTGAGATGGTTCGCTTTTCGAGAACGTAAGCAGAGCTGTGCTTGTGTTTCTAATTGAAATGAAATTGGCGTATTTGTTGTATATTAAGCCTTTAATTGCCATTCATTATAATTTGCACCATTGAAGCAAAATCAAAAGGTTAAAAGTTAATCTTCTTTTCATATAATTAGACGTTCTTACAAGGCAATAATAGGATTATTCTATCATTGATGACATGACATTGGAATCACAAATCAGATGCGTTTAAAATACTGTTTCTCGGGCACTCTGTTGTTTCTACTAAGTTTGGCGTCATTTCAGCACGAACTGCTCCAATGCAACTACGCTCGACCATCAATTAGTCTGCTTGATCACCAGACCTCTAATATTTTCATGATTGGTGAAGTAGTTGTTGACCTTGCGCTCTGCTATATTGTTCTGCATGTTCTTAGACATTTAAATTTCCACAATCTTTGTGAGAAGTGGGCGGAATACACTTCCATTGAGTCAAAATTCACGAGATCAATGAGCTCCCAGTGATGTGGACGTCCAATCACACTGATAAACAGGAGACAATTCACTACGATTTTCTTATTGAAACAACCTTACTATGCTTGCTCTCTACTTTGATCACGTGTTCCCTGTCGATGTTATCGTGTGATTAATACTATTAGACGCAAACGCTTTGTTTTACTACGTCCTGTGAATTCCCTTTTTAAAGTGCTTCTAATAGATTGGATGTGGTGACTCACGCCTAGCCAATCAATATTTCATTTCACGTCGTTCAATCTTCTGAATGGCTGTTCTTTGGTTGTCTGTCCTCGCCGGATAGCCTTATCTCCTTCATCCCCTTCCTCATAGGAAATTCTTGACTACAATTTCTTGATGGGGTTAAACATCCCTGCTACTACCAAAGGCGAATCGTTCTCCTGTTCTCTGAATTAACAGATGTGCTCATTGGTCACTGTGTGCCATTTGGATGGTAGCACCTTCTCACTGGTATATGGAGCCTGTCTGGAGCCTCTCTTTTGGCCAAATTCACGTTCCGTTATCCATTTCACGCCCAATTCCACCTTGGATTCTCCAGTTAGGCTTTGCATTTCGTTTTTACACATTTTATATCTTGATCTTAATCTTACTGCCAGAACTTTGAACTTTCAATATGTCATGATGATAATCTATCCATTGACTAATATTTTGTCATTTTATGCTGTAAATACACTGATATTCTGCCTCCTTTGCTCTATGCACGTTTGTTTTTTGCCTATGTCGGAAAACTAGGTCTGCAGACGTGTGATTGGATGTCTGAAGGCTGTCTTTGTGACCTTGACAAAAATTCACTCCTCTAGCATTCACCTTATTGCCAATTTTAATGTTTACGATTTTCTGTTCATTCTATTCCACATTGATAGTTGTAGATTAGTTCATAAAGCTAGATTGCATAATGTTGATCAAACCTAAATAAATTAAGTAATAACATATTTAGTAAGGGGGGTGCACAATAGACTTACCTCCACGTGGTGCACCCTGGGCAACGTATACGGCAAAAAAGTCTATTGATCGGCAGTTGACTTCTGACTTCAAATTTCTATGGCCCGACTATTTTTCATATTCGAACCCTTCACAGTA